AGTGCAAAGTTGTTCAAAGTGATTGCAAAGTTGTGCAAAGTTATGGCAAAGTTGATATATGTATTTGTATATATGACCTAAGTTATTAGCATATAAAAACGCGCAGTTGTAAAGTCGACAGATTTAATAAAAGCCAGGTGAAAGCAGCCTTTAAATTTTCACATGAGCTGACTGTAATATGTTAGAAAACAACATGCAAAGTTGGAAAAATCGAAGTAAAAGTTGGCGGAGTTGCTTGTATATTTAACCTAAGTCATTGTCATGACAACCCCGCAGTTAAATCTCGAAAACATTAAGTAATTGTATCGAGAATGCCTCATATATAAGCAGATTATCACAACAGCCAACCAAAAAATCGACAACAAACTGCTTACAAAGTTGTGAAAAGCGATTGCAAAGTAGGTCGTTTAATTCGGGAATGTTACCTGTGATATCATATTAACAAGTACTGTAGTTAAAAGTTCGAAAATGTGAATAAAAATTTCCTAAATGGCCGTTAAATTACTGGCACAAATTACAATATTAACAAGTCCCATAGTTAAACGTTCGAAAATGTGAGTACAAATTTCCTATATCGCCGTTAAATTACCGTAGTGTTACTCCGAGTATGTAGAGGTCATAGGTCAATTCTAGAATGTACTTGTGCCAGCCATATCGATTTAAAACATCTGAAAACATGAAATAGCCGCAAATTCTGCTTAATTCATGCAGCTATGTGGTTGGGTGACCGACAAATGTTTAAAGTAAAGCACAGTCGGTCATGGTTAGTACTTGCATGGGAGACTCACGTAGTAAACAAGGTGTTGATTTGGGTTTTTTTATCACACACATAGACAATATATAAGGCAACGTTCCTGCATTCTTTCTCACTGTGATATCAATTATTTATAGTGCAATTTTTGTAACTATTTAAATTAATGCAAATTTTACAAATTCTTCTAATTTTCAGGAACAAGTTGCCGATGTTGTCGGCCTGCAGTGGGTTTTAATCTGTTAAAACACAGTGCAAAGTTATTCAAAGTGATTTCAAAGTTGTGCAAAGTTATGGCAAGGTCGATAGATGTATTTGTATATATGAACTAAGCTGTTGGCATATAAAAACGCGCAGTTGTAAAGTCGACAAATTTAATAAAAGCCAGGTGAAAGCAGCCTATAAATGTTCACATGAGCTGACTGTAACATGATGGAAAACAACGTGCAAAGTTGGAAAAATCGAAGGAAATGTTGGCGGAGTTGCTTGTATATTTAACCTAAGTCATTGTCATGACAACCCCGCAGTTAAATTTCGAAAACCTTAAGTAATTGTATCGAGAATGCCTCATATATAAGCAGATTATCACAACAGCCAACCGAAAAATCGACAACCAACTGCTTACACAGTTGTGAAAAGCGATTGCAAAGTTGGTAGTTTAATTCGGGATTGTTACCTGTGATATCATATTAACAAGTCCCATTGTTAAAAGCTCGAAAATGTGAATAAATATTTCGTAAATTGCTCTTAAATTACCGTAGTGTTACTCCGAGTATTTAGAGGTCATAGATCAATTCTAGAAGGTACTTGTGCCAGCGATATCGTTTTTAAAACATTCATAAACATGCAATAGCCGCCAATTCGACTTAATTTCAAATATTTCATGCAGCTGTGTGGTAATGTGTGATATTACCCATGTGTAGGGCCACTTTACCATGTAATTGTGTCTAAAACAATATTTTGATAAGATTTGATCACTTTTATGTGGTTATATTTAAAAAAATCAAAATCATAGCTATGCCGCCTTAATGGTAGCTTTCATAATTTGTGTTAAATATTTCTATTCATATTTTGCTCTGACTGATTAAACAAATATTTGCCGTGCTGAACTAATCACATAGATTGCAATTCTGTAATTCGAGATTTTCCCCCAAAAATAACAGAACACAACACATTGTTGGGGCAATGCAGAACTCTATAATTATCGTGCTCAAATCTGTACTGTGTGTCGTTAAGTACTGCAAATGACGGCACGTTATGTCGGCGCAATGAGTTATAGGCACGTCCCATTTGAAGAGGGAAATAGCGGCGACCATTAGCAGAAGTGCCACAGTAAATTGTATTTACGTTTATTGAAGGTTAGTACTCACAGTGTGGGTCGATTTTTCAGGCATTTTAGGTTGTTATGTTAACATGTATACGTTGTTCAACTCGAAATTTTCTGATTAGTTCTAACATGGAGAGAAACACGCGGGTAGTTGAAATCTTGATAATTTTTGTTTTCAAATATTGTGTTTGTTTTGTTTTGTTTTTATATTCCTCGCCCTCACGGAGTCCCTTGTAACCAAGGCTCGTTATCTACAGTTTATTTGTTGTTTACGTTATAGATTTAGAACTCTCGACTTTATGCAAACGTTAATCCTCAATTACACCATATACAGCATACTACACTACACTGTATATGATTACACATCGTGAATGACCTCCCAATTACTATGAAAGTAACACAAGTATTGAAACTGACGCCGACAATTTCATTACTTTTCCGAACCGATATCACGAAATGAATTCGCTTGTGACATCTACTACAACTCACATATGTTTCGCGTCTGTCATGAAGTATTTTATAGCCCACATAGACTTTATGACATGCAGCCAGAGGGCGCTATAATTATTTTGCTATACTGTTCGATATGGGACACATAGCGACGTATACAACGCGTGTTAAATATAATGTTTATTTACATGAAATTCGAACACGCGCTGCGTGACAAACGTTACGCTTTAAAGCTAAATTTGAAACTGAGAATCCCTCCCTTAAAGCTGCATTATCATAAACATTTTGTTTGTAGAATTTGACGTGTGAAGTAGAATCTGCTTTATGCCAGATGCAGCAATTACGGCATTCACAAGGTATCTGGGTAAGCCGAACATTGCCGAGCATTTATGTGGATTCGGTTGTGATCGAGTTTTTAACATCTTCGGATGCCATCAATTTCATGGAATCGCACGCGAAACTGACGTCTCTCTAATGCAGCCTACTTAATTAATCAAAATTCGACGAGAAACGAATCATAGAATCTGATTGAACACCCACTTCTAAAGTTTTCCTGTCTTTTTGTTTCTAAATGTATGCTTATGATTTACAAGATTCCATAACATCCGTTAGCACTGTGTCCAAGGGTGTCGAACATTGATAGACAGTTGTCGAAATCGAAACGGTGTTGCATGTCGGGATTTTATGTATTCCTGATAACAAAATAAATCCTGACATGCATAACTCGCTAATCCCGGAAATGCTGATCCCATTTAATGGCTCATTTTACTACATATGTCAAAGACTTGAAATAAATGTAAGAGATAATACAACTTTAAGACACATTGGTTATCCCTACCAAGTATTTTAAACACAAATCTCTCATGTCTACTTTATGCTGCCGAAATAATTGTTGTACGTCTAGGATTAAAAAATGCTGTCAGATCCTATAAAACATACTGTCAGAAAAGGAAACTCAATATATATATCTCTGTCAACATCCAAAATTCAATACTCAGTAGGTGCAACAAATACAAATTCTACGAACACTTTTTATTTGCTATTTGTCATTTATTTGATGGAAGCTTTTACTGCAGGATATGAGATCAAGAATTTGCAGTGCTTTTCAGGTTTGTGTCCAAGTTAGCCGCGGCCGCTCTTAAAGCGGGGAGAGGGGGTCGACACGTTTTGCGTTCAAAAGTACAAACCACACGTAGTGTGCGATGTTTTGCGCAGAATGGCAAAATAATATACAATGAACCGTCTGTTTAGTCATCATAGATTTAGAGTCACATCCACCATTCAGTGTGTTGTGTATTTTCACCGAATAAAATTATAGAAATGCAGTTTTCGACGTCTTTTTGGTATTAAATTTGTCATCTCTATTTGAACTCATGTTGTCATGATAACTATTTGTCCATATAAACTGCTATTTTTACAGAGAAAATATTATTTTTTATTCTTAATACTGAATCAGTATTCTATTTTTCCTGTGCCAGTTCAGCTATGGGACCAAGTTCAGATCATTCCTATTATTTTTCTGCCCACTTAAAATCAGTTAACTTAATATGCGACTTTTATTATTTCTTAATACTATTGTGAGCCTATTTTTATTTGACATATTTTAGCGGCTAAACCGAGTGGTACTACTCTAAGTTATAATAAGATTAACAGTTTCACTTAAATATTTTAAACGTCGATCAGTCTTGGATCGTGTTATGCAAATATCTACTATGTCGAACTTTTCCCGTGATGCAATGCGCGAAACACAGAGAACACGTTTCAACGACGCGTGCGTTTTGTATTTGAGATACTGAGCGAGGGCAGGTGTGACAAGGGTCGGTATGGGATGTAAAATATATTGTCCTTCGTAAGTTCCATAATTGCGCATGCGCAGCTCTATAAACGTTCATTTCTGGTCAAAAAAAATAATCAATTATTTTAGGAAATACAACAGTGGAAGAATATTCGTGATTACATTGTGTTAGACATATATATTCTTTCCGTTATTATAGTTGTTTTTTATTTTTATAATTGACGGTAATAAAATGACACGTATATATTCTATACAGAGAATACTGCTGTCTGATAGGTGGCATTGTTAAACAAATATTGTATATTGGTTTCGATTCTTTGTTGTCGCTGTAATCCGCCGATCATGTTGGCTGCAGCTGAAGTTGACGTCGACAGTTATGCGCATGCGTATTAGTATTGTCTCTCATGTGGCACGACTGTACACAGAGAAAGCATAACAACAACAAATATCAACTTTGTGAATTTATTATATCTTCTGAACATGTCTGGTGAATGGAGCAATGGTCTATGTAACTGCTTCAGAGATTGCGGCCTCTGCATCGTCACGTACCTGCTGCCATTCTACACCGCGGGCAAGAACGCCGAGGCAGTCGGCGAAGGATGTTGCCTTTATGCATTACTCTACATGATTCCGCTAGTCCAGTTCTTCAGCGGGGCTAAAATCCGAGGAATGATCAGGGAAAGTCGAGGTATAATTGGAAGCAGAACGAACGACATGTTACTACACTTATTTTGTCCGTTCTGTGCTCTTATACAAGAGGCACAGGAACTGAAGTGTGCTCCAAGCGGTGCTCTGATTGCGAGGAATTAAACACTGGAACGATCCATTGATTCACGAGGTCGCCGCAAATCACCCTGAACGCAACGTCATCAATAATTAGCCACATATTCCGGCGTTCACAGTAGTTAAAGCGCACTGTTCAAGCACAGGACAACTGACTTCTGTGACGCTCTTTTTTCACACTAACAAATTATGTAGATGTACGAAACAGAAAAAAACAAATGGAAATTTAATCAATGTTTGTGGAACAACATGATCGCGGTCGGGAATGACGATGATGGGGATACATTTTGGAAGATTCCAATATAGTGTTTTCACGGCCTTTAGTAAATGATCTATCGTGGTGTTCTACATGTAACCAGAATACAGCTAAATCTGAACAAGCGATGAGCGTCTGAATTTGGGTTGGGAATGTCTTTCAGCCTGTTTACTATTGTGGTCCATAACAACCACTTGTGTTCATTGCGAGATCCCGCGTTGTGCGTGAAATCGAACGTAAAAACAGTACAATCAAAGGACATTGCGTCGTAGATGACGTAAAAATATCGCGTGGGATTCAACAAATGCAAAAGTACTGTTAGCGTATTTCCACGCTTTAATAATGTGCTATACACGTTTAGTTACGGTCAATTTTGATGACGTAAAAGC